ACTAAAGAAGTCAACAGCCGCGAAAACCTGAAAGCCGAGTATTAGTTTAATCCATCTACTGGAAAAAGAAAGAGTACCGCGCAAGGGTACTCAACAAATGGTCCTTCGAGTCGGATACAAGCCGGATATAAAACACGTCAAGCCAGAATCAGCACGGCACGCAGCGAGGCCGAGAGCAGTTCAACCGATGCCATTCTGCCAAGGAAGCATCAAGGACAAGGGACAAGTCGGTCATCACACGGGCGAGGACGAACGAGCATCGTGAAGAAAGCGAGCCTTTTGTAATCGCAACATAACCACGCATTGTGAAGCAAGAATAGGCTCGAACATTTTTCCCTGTGCGTTAGGTTATCATTCGTGCGTAAGTTTTTATTCTTGCGTAAGTTTCTTATTCAATCTCGAGTTTCGCAACATAATCGACACGATGTCGGAACAAATACTAGTCAAAAAGAGAAGCTACATTAAGGCCAAGCTAACTCGATTTGTTAATTTCTTGAACGACTGCGATAGTGACGAACAAAAAAGGCGGGAAATAGCGTCTCGTTTAGACAAAGCTGAATTGATATGGAAAGATTTCGACTCAGTGCAGACCGAGTTGGAAGACCTTAATGAAGCAGAAATGGAGAGTGGAGAACGTGACACTTTCGAAAATAAATTTCACCATTCAGTCACTAGAGCCCGAGCCATGATTTCCATAACTCAAATGTCAGTTGCAAATGCACAACAAGATCAACGCGTTTCAATATCAAATCGTGCTAACGCAATGCAGCAAAGAAAATCGCACCTGCCCACTATTGACATTCCTAAGTTTGATGGGAGCTGGGAAAAATGGCTACCATTCCGAGACACATTTGCTTCCATAGTTCACAATAATGAAACACTAGCTAACGTTGATAAGCTTCATTATTTGAAATGGGCTTTAGTGGGGGACGCGTATACAACTTATAGAGTCATTAGAAATAACGAACGAAAGCTATACTGTTGCGTGGGAAATCGTAAACAAACGATACAAAGACGATAAGATCATTATCCAACATCACACGCAGGCATTGATTGATTTTCCAATTATTTCGAAGGAGTCACACTCTTCGCTCAGGCAATTGGTTGACACCATGCAACAACATCTTCGTACACTAAAGCGCCTCGGACAACCCACCGACAGCTGGGGCACAATACTTATACATTTGTTCATACCACCTTGACAGCAATACCAGGAGGGAATGGGAGTCCGAAAGAGCTGACAACTCAGAGCTTCCCAGCATGGAGGTCTTTACTAAATTTTTAGAGACAAGATGCTCTTTCCAGGATGCCTTGTCTCGCACTGGTACACTTAGTATCTCCAGAGCTGCACAGGGTCAATCGAAGCAGCAGTCAACTAAGTCAGCTAATCAAATACAAGCTCATATCAGCATTGAAAATTCAGCATGTCCCATTTGTCAAAACACTCACAAAATTTATGAGTGTCTCATATTTCGCAATATGTCCATTCAAGCTCGCATCGAGAAGGTTAAAGGCTGCAAATTATGTTACAATTGCCTGAAACAATTCCACGGCAAGGGATGTACGTATGGAGCATGCAAAAAAGGCATAATACACTGCTTCACATTGATGGAACTGCTGCTTCGAATGCCCCCTTAAGCGGCAAAGATAAGACCGTCGCAAAACAAGACGCGCTTGCTTCCTCAGCGGAGGAACCGAAAAATACAAACGCATCTAGCAATAATGCTTCTAATGTCAGCAATAGTCTATCGTCTTGTCACATTAATGGTTCCTTATCACACATTTTACTGTCAACGGCTATAATTTATGTTTGCGATCAAGCCGGAAATTTGCACGAGTGCAGAGCTTTACTAGATTCCGGATCGCAGGCAAATTTTCTATCGCAAGAACTATGCAAGCGCTTGAAGCTGCCTCGACGTAGCGCAGACACCATCATAAGTGGCATCAGCATGACTTCATCCACGGCAGAAAGGCAAACAACTACTACCATTCATTCAAGATTCAACAAATTTCAAGCGAAACTATCGTTCCTGATTGTCAACAAAATTACCAACAATCTACCAGCAACAAACGTGGACGTGGATTCACTGCAAATCCCATTGAACATTAAATTGGCAGACCCCACATTCCATATGCCCGGCAGGATAGACCTGTTGCTGGGCGCCGAAATATTTTGGAGACTACTATGCGTTGGCCAAGTACGTATTTGCAAAACACAACCTACATTCCAAAAAACGACACTAGGTTGGATAATATCGGGAGCAGTTAATCCCGCTTCACAGCAGCAGACCGCCTTGCGATGTCATTTCGCTCAGCAGGCAGCGGTGCAGGAGCAACTTGAAAAATTCTGGCACATTGAGGAGCTCCAGCCAAAACATCATCTCACTCAGGAAGAACAAACATGCGAAGAACACTTCTGCAAAACGCATTCACGTCAAGAAGATCGAAGATTCATCGTGCAGCTTCCGCTAAAGGATAATTATACTGAACTGGGCGATTCCTACGATACCGCTAAAAGAAGATTAGCAGCCTTGGAGAGAAGGTTATTAAGGCAGCCACAATTAAAACGGCAATACGGATCTTTCCTGCAAGAATATAACGAATTAGGACATATGAAGCTGATTTCCGAGGAGGAAGAACAAGACGCAAGAAGCAACGACACAATCTATTATCTGCCGCACCATGCCGTCATAAAGGAAGATAGCGACACTACACGGCTACGAGTCGTCTTCGATGCGTCAGCCAAAACGAGCTCAGGCCTATCCTTGAATGATGTTCAGCTAGTAGGACCCACGATTCAGCAAGACTTATTTAGTATCATTCTTCGTTTTCGTCAACACACATATGCAGTCTCTGCGGACATTTCAAAAATGTATCGTCAGATAAGAGTGAGGGAAAACCAATGCAAACTACAACGTATCTTGTGGCGCTTCAACCAGGAGGAAAAAATCAAAACGTACGAACTTCAAACAGTCACATATGGTGAAGCTTGCTCTGCGTTTTTGGTCATTCGCGCACTTCATCAGGCCGCGCGAGACTTGCAACATCGTTTCCCTAAGGCTTCTGAAATTATTATTCATGACTTTTATGTGGACGACCTTTTAACGGGCGGCAACGACATCAAACTTCTCTCTTGCTTGAAAGAAGAGATCATCACTATTCTTGGAACGGCCAAATTCGAGCTGCACAAGTGGAAATCTAATCACCCTGCATTGATGAGTGCTGACGGCCACGCTCCGACAGCGGTGCAGATAGGCGAAGGTACGAAAGTCCTCGGACAATCTTGGGACACCAAACTCGATACATTTCGCTACACCACTGGCGCGGCGGACCGAGCGCAAAGGCCTACGAAAAGGCAAGCTTTGTCTTCTATTGCTCAAGTGTTTGATCCGCTCGGCCTATTGGGGCCAGTTATCACTCGAGCTAAAGTGATCATGCAACAACTGTGGCAAATTCAGCTAGGCTGGAATGAATCTTTGCCTGCCCAAATCCACACCTAATGGTCTCGGTGGTATCGGGAAATCCCGAAGCTAAATTATCTGCAGATACCTCGTCGCATTTTGTGTGATGAACCAAGGAGCATAGAGTTACACGGCTTCTGCGACGCCTCGGAACAAGCATACGGCGCCTGCCTTTACTTCAGAACTACCGATGCGAACCAACAACATCATATCAGGCTGCTGTGTTCGAAATCGCGTGTCGCTCCTTTAAAAACTCTAACTTTGCCCAGACTCGAGCTGTGTGGTGCTCTGCTGTTATCCAGACTATATCAACAAGCAATTGATTCGCTAAATGTATCATTAGACAGCGTACATTTTTGGTGCGACTCCACCATAGCGTTGTCTTGGATTTCGGGTAGCTCCAGCCAGTGGTCAACCTTTGTTGCCAATCGCACATCGAAAATTCAGAAGCTAACAGTCAAAGGGAAATGGCATCACGTTCGCTCTGAGCTCAACCCAGCTGATATTGTTTCTCGAGGACTAAATCCCGACGAGATCCAAAATTGCCCGTTTTGGTGGAAAGGGCCTTCATTTTTGCAAGAAGACTATTCCAGCGTTTTAAATGATTCGATACGGTTGCTTCCGCCAAAGGAATTACCGGAGGTGAAGCGGCAAACTATCGCGTTGTCCGCAGCATTAGAGGAGGATTTAAATCTCATCAACAAATTTTCTTCCTTAAGTCGATTAAAACGAGTAACCGCTTATTGTTATCGTTTCGCTCACAATGCGAAACGAGGGGGTAAAAATCACCAAGGCGAAATTCAAGGACCTGCGAAAGCAAGTCGCAGAACTTGAGCGTAGCTTGCGAACCCTCATCATCCTAGCTCAACGCACCGCCTATGCAGAGGAAATCAAGAACCTTGCCCGAAAAAGGGAAGTGTCGACCAAAAGCCAGATACTTTCCCTTCGTCCATTTTTGGATATACGCATGGCCCTTTGCGAGTCGGAGGACGCCTGCACGAAGCTCCGTTGGATTACGACCAAAAACACCCCATAATACTACCAAGAAATCTCATCTCACATCCTTGATCATAAGGGAAGCACACATGAAGAACCTACACATCGGAGCTCAAGCCCTCTTAGCAATGATTCGTCTTCGTTTCTGGCCCGTGTCGGGGAAAAATGCCATAAGGAAAGTGCTACACAAGTGCCTCGTCTGCACTCGAGCGCGCGCCATATCCGTCGAGCAATTGATGGGAAATTTGCCTGCATCGCGAGTGACGCCCTCGCCCCCTTTTGCTAAAACGGGTGTGGACTACGCCGGGCCTTTTAATATAAAAATAAGCCGCAACAAAACCGGCAAGGCTTATTTATGTGTATTCGTATGTTTTGTAACCAAGGCCTTACACTTAGAAGTTGTTTCAGATCTCAGTACTGCTGCCTTTTTGAATACCCTGAGGAGATTCATAGCTAGGCGCGGGAAATGCTTCGCAATTTACTCTGACCACGGAACAAATTTCGTGGGTGCCAACAATTCCTTAAAGGAAATGCATCAATTAGTCAAAGAAAGCAGCTCAAAAATTCATGATTATCTGTCAGAGCAGTCAATTAGCTGGAATTTTATTCCTCCGCAATCACCGCACATGGGAGGTCTCTGGGAGTCCGCGGTCAAGTCGTGCAAAAACCATTTAACCAAAGTCGCAGGTCTGACTTCGTTGACCTTTGAAGAACTCACGACTGTCGTAACTCAGGTAGAGGCCATATTGAATTCCAGGCCTTTAACACCCATGTCCGCGGACCCCACAGACCTCAATGCTTTGACTCCCGGTCATTTTTTGATCGGCCGGTCACTCGCCTCTATTGTTGAACCTGATGTGTTAGACGTTAAGATGAATCGTTTGAATCGCTATCAAGTTTTGGAGCAGATGCGTCAGAGCTTCTGGAAGCGATGGTCGACTGAATATTTGACACAGCTTCAGCATCGCACCAAGTGGAAAGAAGTTCAAGCTATTGTAAGGGAAGGGACTATGGTTGTTTTGCGTGAGCAAGGTACTCCGCCTTTGAATTGGCGACTCGGGAGAATAACAGAAGTGCATCCTGGCAAGGATGGTCTAGTACGAGTCGTAGAAGTAAAAACTACCACAGGCATATATCAAAGGCCCTTATCCAAAATCTGCATTTTACCTGTTGAAATTTAATTTCCTTTGAAAGCCAAGCCTTTCAAGGCCGGCGGCATTGTTAAGCGTTTGTCAATCACGGTGGCAACAATTACCGATAACAGTTTTTCTTTTTATTTTGTAAAGGTTGGCTAGCTATAAGGTACTAGATTTCCCTAGACCAACCGCGACTCTACATTTGTATCGATATCTATCGAATCGATTAGTGGCAGGAGGGCGTGCGTGCGCAACCAGATATGTTAGTGAGTAAGGAAAGAAGGAAGGAAGTCACCTCGCCTTTGTTCACACAGAAAATAAAGAAGTAAGGTAAAATACAGCAAGGAGTATTAATTTAATCCATCTACTGGAAAAAGAAAGAGTACCGCGCAAGGGTACTCAACAGATAGTTCGTCAAACGAACAGCTTAAAAGAATTCCTAATATTTGACTAGGAAGAATAGTAGATCGAAATGATCGAACAAATCTAAAAAAAATAGTTTCTGTAAAAAACGTTCGTACTACTAATAATTATCAATCGCGATCAGAAAGAAGCATGCGTAAATTGTTCTCTTTTATTGATAAAACTCAACCACGAATTTCATGTTACTTTCCTGTGCTCAATCGTTTAGATGTTGAAATTAATCGAAATAAAGAGTTAAGTCTTTCTATTAAACATTTCCTGGAAAAACACTCTAATAATTTTACTGCAAACTATGAGTCAAACGAAACGCAAACCTCATTTTTGAGAAAATTAATGCACACTGCTCTTTTTAACACAAACAAAAAGATGGGGGGACAGCGATACGACGATACACTTAAGCTTTTCGCAACTTATTTATTTGTTATCGGTGGTCGAATGTTATATGAAACATTATTTGCAAACTTGCCCTTACCTTCTTTGAGTACAGTAAGTCGTACGTTAGATAATTTGGGTTGTTTAATAATAGAAGGTGACATGCGAGTTATGGAATTAGAAAAGTTTTTACGCATAAGAAAACTACCGTTTTATGTATGGTTAAGTGAAGATGCAACCCGAATAACTGGTCG